GAGCTCGGATATGCTTTCATTAGTACTGCTAACTCTTATTTATGAGATCAAAACCCTACTTATTGTAAGCGTAGGGTTTCTCTGACAAAAGGGTTATCCAACTCTATGGCTCAAGGGGAATCAAGCGTCTAGGATAATTCGCTACATCAACCCTAGTTAATCCACACATACTTTGCTTGTTCTGAATTTTTCTGAATCAAATGTGTTTTTCTTCACTTTTATTATCCCTTTTAATTAAGGAACTAAAGTTCTTTTCTTTAATTAACATGTTCAGTATCTAATTAGTAGTCTTATTGTGTAGATGCACTGCAAACATGTGAGAGCATGATAATTATTCGTTTCATTTTTTTGTAAGATTTTGTTTGGATACTGTTGAGTGTTTATAATTGATGATGTAATCTTATTATTAGTATATTTTTTATATTCTGAAAGAGTTTCCATTTTTTAGTTTCTAGCTCACTGCATGCCTTGGTAGCTATTATTCCCAGTACTACAAGCCGACCTGCAAAATATGCGTGCATTTATTAAACTAGCTAGGGTTTAGTTAATTTAGTTTGACTCTCATAGAATCATGGCACTGTGTTTAATTAGATTAATAGATTTAATTAACATGGATCTTGAGATTGATCCAGATAACTTCTAATGTGAAAAAACAATGGGCGTAAAGATAAATTTGCATATTGAATTAGGTTTGCGAGAGTAGTTTAGATAGTAAATTTGGGTTTAAAGAGATATTGATAGTTTAATTAAAAATGATATGGATGTAGATAGTAAGCTAGGTGTGGAAAGAAGTTAAATGAGTTCAAATAAAATTTCCCTAAGAATGTTGCCTATCATATATATATATTTATATGCTTTAAATAGTTCTAAAACTTGCAAACTTGCGCGGGACACTTTCGCTAATTTATACTAAATATCTACATTTGTGTGAATATTCATGCATATGACAATTGAATTGAGAACATGATCTTCTATCCCTTTGACTCGGATGATAGATTCAAAGAATACAACAATTATTTCCTTATATATATGACAATTGTTATCCTTATATATTTTGCTCACCCTATCTGTATGCACACATTATAACAGGTAATATTACGAATGTTAAACCCTTTTTATTTTATTTTTATGAAATGGGGTGATAGTGTTCACCAATTATCCACATAATCTTATTAAGAAAAAAAAAAGACAAATGAAGGGGACATAAATCCAAACCTTGTTGATGGAAAAACATGGCTATTAATATGGTAGGGGAATATTTTTAGTTTTTATGTTATTAACTTTTTAGCATGTATATCTCACCATTTGTATAATGACACATGGTGTACCACCTCGTGTTCCGGTCACACTAAAAAATCTCTCCATGTTCTCAATCGTTGTATGCATGTATGCTCATAAATATGCACATATATAGTATAATTTAAGGAGTTGTTATTAACACTCATAAATCTCATTATACAATTCTCACAAGTGCATTTTTCTCTGCACCACATGTGTTTACTGTTAGAACACCAAAATATCTCGAAGGTCAACCAAACATACAATAGGTGCGACGTCTTTGTACTCTTCGCCACACCCGATGCCACACGGGTGCATGGGAGCATATTCAAAGCACCTTTAGTTTTTCTCATCCATTGTTGAGTCACAACTATAATCTATGAAAACAATGTTGTATGTATTGATCTGATCAAGCAAGCATATATCAGCTGTAACACCCCAAAAATTTTGAAGCTAAACACAGTAGTAGGCCAAAACAAAACCATGATTAATCTTACTGTATTAACAACAATGAATTTCCTTATTTAACACTTACCTAAAAAAAATTATTTCGGCTGGATCTAACTTCAGAATTAAATTACCTATATACCCTGTGAAAGGATCAAACCAATCGTAGTTCACCACCTTCTTTAAACAGCGTAACACTACACAAGAAACAATTTGATCTCAAAAGAATTGATCGAAATTCTTTGATCTAATCAGACAATAATATATATACCTTCTTGACTAGAAATTTCAACAATTACATGAAAATAGGACTTACCTCAAAGGATTTCAATTGCATCTTTAGTCACCAGTTTAGTCAGTAATCCCTTCAATTCACTCAACCAACACACACACACACACACACACACACCCACACCACACCCACATATATACATACACATAGAAAGGAAAAGTTCTTTTTCCCTTGAAGGTCTCGTCCTCCCAGGTAACTCAATGGAACAAATGTATGTTAGGTGGCCGATCAGCTGGAACTTGGGAATCTGATGACAAATATACTTTTTTTTTCTTTCCAAAGAGTTCACCCAAAGGAAAATGATAGGTGATATAAGCTCAAACTTTAGGGAATAAAGTCAATCTCAACTTCTATGTTATTTCCCTTTATTGGATTTCATAACCATCTATTAATTTGTCTTTCCAATTCTTCCATTTAATCATAAAAATTTGAATAACTAAATCATACATCTAAAAATTCAGGGATATTACATTCGACCCCCTTAAAATAAATCTTGTCCTCGAGATTTTCGACCACTAAATAATGAAAGGGATTTAGGCCAATCCCACAATTCTATTTATATGGAACAAATCAAAACCTCAATCTACGAGTTCATTTCTTGTTCAAAATAAATAAATAAATAAAAATAATGTTGGTCTTCGTAGATATTAGAATTTCCAGCCACAATCAATGGCAATACCAATAATCAGAATTTCTAACCATAATCAATGGCAATACCAATAATCAAAATTTCTAGCCATAATCATCATTGGCTAAACAAGATGTTACCACAATTCTTTTTCAAAATCCGAGTACAAAATAATCCAACTTGATGACCGGTCCTGCGGCCGAGTACCCTTACTTCAATCGAAATAGTGGATTGAGGAATAAAAGCTCAAAGACAAAGAGAATCAGCCTTTTCCAAAGAATTACAGCAGCTTTCCCACTCTCACAACAACTCGAAGTAGGGTAACGAGAGTGTCCATTTGCTTCCTACACCACACAGATCACAAGTACCTTCCTTATGGAATATGGGTACAAGTTCGTCAGTATAGGCCCCAAAGGTTTAGTGGATCAAAACCTAAAGCAACGCACGGTGCCCCTCACACCTAGTTCCTCTCAATCTAGGAGTGTCCATTTTCTCCAGTTATGCCACATAGATTATCCTACAGGATTAGCCTATCCGCACAACACCCTCTGAAGGTTTAGGGGATCAAAACCAGAGAAACCACATAGTCCCTTTCACTCTCAAGTCATCAAAATCATCCATGAAAGTTGCATTCACTCCCCGAGAACGAGTGATTCACAATACACATATATATTTCACATGAAGGCACCATTATTCATAATTCCTATGAAATAATGCAATATCAACAAAGAGCTCAAGACTACCATTACTATAATATTATTGCTGTTCAGAAATGTAACCACAATCCACTACCATTTCAGTTAATTAATGAAAAAATAAAAGAAAATCAATGAATTGATGCAGTTCTAGTATCTTTTAATTCTCTCACTTTGCTATGTTTATGGCTTATTCATTAGAACATGGGTATCATTCGAAGACAGAATTGATTTTCTTTGATATCTAACATAATGCATAAAATGATCGTTGAAGAACCATAAGATGGTCACCATAAAATTATTAACGAAGACTTCTTCTACAAGATGAACATGCTCAATTTCATTTGATTGAATAGTTGATTCAGCTCCTCGTTGTTTGAAGAAACCCTCCGCTTCAATTGGAAAATTTTCACGAAAAGCAAACATGAGATAACAAATCTAGTCTTTCACTAAGATTTCGAATAGCAGCTGTCCCTAATTCAAGTTGATTATGTTTCGCCTCTTCCTTGACGAAGGACGATCAAACCATTCCCAATCACAGTCCTTGTAGATCGGATCATCCATATAATATGCAAAAAGAAACTCCAGATATTTGATATCTTTCTCTTTGAATGAGATCTCAATTCCAACGAAGGTTTCATTAGATATCTTACAACTAGAAGCTCTCTTTTTCCTGATGCAGTTCCTCCATCACTGCAAACCCCAGTTAGATTCGGGCATGATACACTTTTTAGTTATTGGGAGAACCTAAGTACTCTCTTTTGGATCCAGGAAACAGCTCTCAGAGATCTTTTTTTCTTTTTGGAAGATACAGGAGTGAAACAATCAACCTATTGATATTGGAAGACCCAAAAGATTCTTCCAATGTATCATTTATGGATCCAATGAAATTCATAGGTATAGGAAAGAAGCCCTGTCAAATACAGATTTTTTCTTTTGACCTTCTTTCGATTGTTAATACGATATATAAGGACCGTTGCTACAAATAGTACTACACCCTTGATCGTGAAATATCGGTTGCTTGTTGAACCTTGTAAATATGAATTGTGTGAAAATAGGATACTCCAAATTCAGGAGTCCAAGAGTTTTATAAAGCATTCTTGATAGAAAAAAATGTGAATAAAAAATCTCACTAAATTGAATTTGGTCTATGAATCTAAGAAATAGTGAGAATCCTGGATCTCTCTCAATATCTCTTTTTTTTTTCTTTTTTCTTTTTTTTTCTACTCCACCTTCAAAACAAAAGAAAACACGAAGCCAAAGATAATTGGTGGTACAGAAAACGAAAGATAGTGTTAACTATACAAAGCCTCAAACTATAATTACAATTGTGAAATAATGTATCAAAAGCAACGTAAGAAGGCTTTTCAAACCAAAAAATTATTTTGTTGCTACGAACATGGGTAAAATCATTTCCAGTGATCCAAAGTAGCTCTGCCTTCTGCCTTCTGCCTTCGTATTTTCAGCAGTATATCATAATCTCTTAGGGCAAACGTAATATGATTATTAATTTCTTTTCAGGTCACCATGCATCTTGTTTTCTAGTGTTCTTCAATTGCCATAAACAGATTAATTTGTTTCTAGTAATTTTGCTCATATAATACCAAATTATGAATTAAGGAGAAAAGAAAACTGCAGTCTACAATTTGAAGAACTGATATCAAGAAAGGAAAGGTTAATAACTAATTAGTAACACAACCCCACACCAAAAGCCCTTACATATTCATTACATAAATATACTCATTACTTAATTAATTTAAACTTAATCAGATTAGCACAGATAAGGGCATCATGGAGTCCCTGGCAGTAGCAGATGAAGCCCCAGCAGCACTATACCCATAATCTGAACCAAAATTACCATGTTGCCCATGCCTCTCCTCCTCATCATGTTGTTGATCATTCCCCTGCAGCTGTTGTGACGGCCCTACTTTCTTTCTCTTCTTCTTCTCATAAGCAATCCCCCTTGCCCTGGCCTGGCTGTCCCTCACCTCCCTCAGGTACAGCCTCACTGCCCGTGCCCCAAACGGGTTAGTCTCGGGGTGCCCGCCGTTCTCCTCAAAAGCTGCCCGAAGCCGCCCAATGAGCGCGTCCAGGCTGCCCCAAGCCTGCCGCAGCGGGCATGGGCAGGGCGCAGGAGGGTTAGGGTGCCCGTAGAAAGGGCAAGCGTCCGCGTGGACCTTGGTCTTCCCGAATTGATCCAAATACCTAAGGAACTCCAGCACGTGTGCCCCACTGCAGCGGGACAGGTTAAGCGGCGGGCGGTGGTTCTTGAGGTACTGCCCGAACGTGATCCAGTCCCGCCGCTTCTGGGACTCGTATCTGCTCAGCACTGGCGTCACGGCCGCTAGCGGGGACGGTGTGAATAACGGTTGGTGGTGGTAGTTGTCGGTGATGGAGTTGCTGTTAGTGGAGCTCGAATTACTCAGTGCCGCCGCCGCCGCCGCTGCGGCTGCTGCTGACATGGTACACAAAGTTTGATAGCTTTCAAAAGGATTAAATTGGTATGATGATATGAGGACAAAGTGCTATGTGTGAAATGTATGAGAGACGGTAGAAAGACGTGTAGGAATATATAAACGGTGGGTAGGGGGCCGGGGATGGAAAGAAGGAGAGGAGAGGAAGTGGGGGACATAATTTCAATGAGAAGAAGAGAGAAGATGGGGGAAGGAAACAAAAGGAGGGTCCCATTCAAAAGACAAAACCACGTCGCGCAAGCAAGCGACGACAGTTTGGATGTCACTTCATAAACGTCATGTCTCATGATATCTATATACGAAACCTCACCTTTATTTACGCGTCTCTCTCTCTCATGTTTGAAACAGTGAAAATTTGATTACGAAGAAGATAATTATGTGATTTGATTAGGCAGTGGATGTGACTGGTGTGTAACCTTTGTAACCTAATTCTGGCGCGGCAACTGACTGCCCCCTCTCCACCTCAAACTGGATCAACTCACATGCTTATCAGTTTTAAATATTAAACTGCCTATGTTTGCTCGTAGTGCACATTTATTTTCCAGAAGAGAGTAACAGTGCTTACTGTTCTGGGCTGCTAGGGCTAGCTAAGGACAGAACGTACTCTCACTGTGCAGTTCTGATCCTCCAAATTAGGGCATCTTGAACGTAACTTTATATACATATCTCTCCTTATACAACAATTTACAAGTGTTACGGTTTGAATACATGTTCACGACATGTAACATGCATGCAAGATTATTTTTCTCTGCAAATTTTAAGATGAGGCTCACATCCTAAGAGTTTATATTGCCAAACAAAAATTCTGCTAGGTTTCCTGCCTCTCGATCTTTGATATATACATTGTGGCTTTATATATGGACTCACAAAGTTAATTAAGAATAAACTAATGTAGCATAATGTAAAAAAATAAATAATGGAAAAAATTTGTAAATGTCATCTCATTTATTGAGTTGTAAAAGTTACTACGCATACTACATAATCCGTCAGTCACTTATAGAAGTTACTACCTTCCTTTTGTAACTAATTGTATGACATACATGTGTTGCAGATTATATGTATGCCATGAATTAGATAGACAAACTCTAACTCATGTATTTCTTTTGTTCAATTGCAAAGAAAGAGATCAAGCAATAAAATTTAAAACTTGTCCCAATCCATCGTCTCTTTACAAATAGAGGAGTCCGGCTTTAATAATACGTATCATTTAATGGATCAATTTTATGTAATATTTAGCCATTGAAATAATTCATTAAATATCTATATGCAAAATTTAACAGTTAATTTTTTGAACCATTCAATAATTTATACGAAAAATAAAAAATTGGAAATAAAGTGACATAAAAATGGGTAAGGAACAAAAAAAAGTCAATAGAAAAGGTAAAAGAAAAGGAAGAGAATCCTCAAAAGAAGCATATTAATGGAGGGTAAATAGTAATCCAACATGATTATGTTTAGGGAAACACTGACTGTGCAACCAAAGACTTTTTGTGATGCTTGTTTGAATCTTATTTATTGTATCGCAGTATCGCACTGAGTTGGGTAAGAGGTGGGGGCAAAATAGTGTTACATCTTGTCAAACATGTCAAATCCGATCGATGAGACTATTCTCTCTCTCTCTCTCTCCTTTCTTTTCTGTCCACTTCTTCTGGCTGCGATTGAATCAATCAAGCACATACACAAAGTCCTCTTTTTACAATTTTGCCAGATCTGGAGCTGGATTTGTGTACGTGGGTCACCAACACCCCAGCTGCAAATCCCTTATTCTAGTTCTGTGTTGTTCCCCTTTGAAATGCTCAAACATGCCATAGTAGTATCATAAGGCCTCCCATGCTTTTCGATCCAAACCTGTAACAAACGTATCTGGTTGAAGCAAATTACCTGCATGGGTAATTCCACACGTGTTTTTGCACAAACTATGGTGTCAACTTTTAAAATGAACAAAAAAAGAAAAAAAAAAAAAAAACTTATTGGCATGACCAAACATTTATATAAAATTCTACCTTAAGCACATGTAATACAACCGTAGATTGTCAGAAAGCCAATCTACGAAATAACTTAATTCATGGACAATGTCGTTGTGGTAAATATTGTAATGCCAAAAGAATCCTTACCGTATGATGTAAAGGGAAAGATCATAAGTGTCTATACCATAAAATTGAAAATTCATTTTTGCTTATTACTTTTGTTAATTAAAATTGTGAATTCGTTGTTACAAAGTTCAGTGTCTAATTCAACATCCCTTATGCCGACACACTTCTCATGCTTACAATTATGCAGGTGATTAGAAAAATGCAATTAGGCTTCGCATATTATTATAAAATTGTGATTATTATATTATAAAATTTGTTGAGAACGAACGTGATCATAAAAGTTGGGACAATATTATTTAATTAAACTGGTTAAATATTACATTTCCCTCTTACATTTCTACGAAATACTGAATTCCAAACGTAATGCTGTTTGAATAAAGGTGCTGATATTATTTCATGGAGGCGACAAAAATGAGGAGAAAAATGCCGCTCGTGAATGTGTTCGTTTCAGAATAGTATGTTTTGTTTGTTGTGTATGTTGATTTTATTGTCATTTAATGTGATATGACATATAGTTTCACCAATTATTGGAGATTCATGGGACACCAATCAAACAGGAATGCTTATTTGCAGCGCGCCATTTTGTTACCTTATATCAAGAGTAATGCTACAAAAATTAAATTTATAAACTAAATGTGAAACCTTGTCTCAAAATATGTACATTTTTTATATTAGCGGAATTACGAAAGTACTTTTACGTATTTTTTTCGTTTTAACGGAGTTTGAAATGACCATTTTTATCCCTTATCATTTACCCAATCCGGATCCCATTTTTAGATTTTCTCTAATTTCTCATCCTCTCTCTACCTGCCACGTGGCAACTTCCTATCTCCCTTTCTCTTCTTCTCTCTTCTTCCCCCACCCCGAGACACTCTCTCACTCTCAGCTCACTCTTTCTCTCTCTTGGATCCCTCTTCTCTTCCCGGCGACACACACTCACCCACACCCAAACCGAGACAAACGACAGCACCACCCACCGTGTTGGACCTTTCCCTTTCTCTCTCCATTGCCTCTGTGAAGCACAAACAACCCGAGAACCCAGGTCCGGCAAGCCCGTGGCTTTTGAGGTGAAATCCGACCGACTTCGGCCACCTCACGGCGTGAGATAGGTATGAAACCCTCCTTCTCATCTTGCACTTCAATTTGGTACTTAGATTGTACCTTAGGGTTAGAATTTGGCGTCGATCGGAGCTATGGAAGCTCCGGTCTCTTTCTCGTCGAAAACCTACCTGAAAACAGGTCACATCCGATCCAGGTGGATCCTAGGAACCCAGGCCACGCGTAGGCCGTGCATGAGCCTGCGCGTGGGCCCGCGTGAAGAGCTGCCGGTGCCAGTGCTTGAAGCACACGGACCACCATCCACGGCAGCGCCGACTACTTTTCTTGGCTCGTGGCCTCTGAATCCGCCACCTTACGGTGGCGTATGAGAGCACGTGAGGCGGCGTGTGAGGGTACCCAAGGTCCCCCCTTATGTTTTTTGATGTCTTAAATCTGTTTATGATGTTCGTTTTTCAAAATTCAATTGTTATGATAGAGTTTTATTAAATAGACCCTTTATGTGCCTAGGCGCAATTATTAGCGACGATTTTTCCCTCCTATTTCGCACGGCTCTTCAACGACGGAGTATCTGTGAGTGGACTCATTCTAAAATGCATGTTTTAATAGTAGAAACGCATACACGAAAAACATGATTTAATGGTTACATTTTACGAAACGTTTTATGAGTAAATTAGTTTTACACTTTATGATTATCATGCTTTATTAAGAATATTTTAGAATACCATTCTTTATTGAATTTATGTTCTTTGTAGTATATATGATGGATGACTATATACTATTATGAACATGTTTTTACACTCTTTGTAGTATATATGATGGATGACTATGTACTATGAAGATGTTTGAGATATATGTACTTATGTTGGAAAGATTATATTCAATGTTTTTGTACTTATCTAGTGGTCACTGTTCTGCCTACGGGCGATGATACTTATATTGGCTTCGGCCGGGCATTGGTAGATGGCTACGGTCGGGAGATACTTATATTGGCTTCAACCAGGTGTTGGTAGATGGCTATAACCAGGAGATACTTATATTGGCTTCAGCTAGGCGTTGGTAGATGGTTATGGTCGAAAGATATTTATATTAGCTTCGGCCGAGCATTGGTAGATTGCTTTGGCCGGAAGATATTTATATATGACACCACTATTTAGCACACTATTTGATATATGTTTATTGAAAAGTTTTATGGCATGCTAGGGTTTTCGGAAACCTATTACATATTATGCTATTAGTTTCCATAAACTTTAGGGGTTAGTACGTTATTGAATAATTATATTTGTACTACTTATATATCAACTTGGTTCACTCATCTTTGTTTTGCGCCCTCTCAGGTCATAGGAATGAGGCTTATAATCCGAGCTATGAGGCATTCCCCTTCCAGTGACAGCATGCCATCCATTCTTCTTTGACATCATTGTAATAGCACATTCCGCTTGTATTCTGAATTAGATGTATGCTTTGAACATGTCATGCATTATCACTATCATTATCATTGTTGACAGTTGAATATTATTATATTACATTGTGTAGTTCGCGCAAAATTTACATGCATGTTTCCCATGTTCTCAGCATATGCATTCATTAAATGGCTTGCGTCACCCTCGGGTGTCGGCTAGCACGTGGCCATCCTGATGTCTCCCGGATATCGAGACTGGGGCGTGTCACTAAATGACGTGAAAGTTGGTAATTGGATTATTACTTAATCGTTGATAAACATGTTTTTTTTTATTGGTGACACATCATTTGATTTGCTAATTTAGCTACAAATTTAGTCTTCCTAACATTACTCTTATATCAATGATCTATAGCAACCCTTTGCCACTAGTTAATTAAAAGGAAAGGTCATCATTAAA